TCGGAAAATATTATCAGTGACATCTAGCAGAGCTGTATTAGTACTATGTTGAGGGCGAAATCCGGACTGCGTACTTGGAAGTATATTGTTTTTCGCTAAAAACAGACTAAGTTGCTCATGGACTACTTTTTCTAATATTTTTGAAAGTGTAGGCAGTATACTGATGGGCCTAAAATGAGAAATTAAAGTAGGTTTTGAAATCTTGGGAATGGGTATTATTTGAGACTGCTTCCAAGCAGATGGAAATTCATTTAACGACAAACATTTATTAATAAGAAATGCAATATGAGGTGTTAAAAAGGGCGTTATAATAGATATCATTTTTAGGTTTATACCATCACTGCCAACAGCACTAGAAGTTAATTTAGAGATTATTTTCGAAACAAGCGTACAATCTACATTTTTAAAAGTAAATTTTTTAGTATTTAGTGTTATTGTCTTATTTACATAATTTTTGTCTAAAAACTTGTCATTTCTATCAGTGGCAGGAATATTCTCTGTAAAATGCCTATTGAATTGATTAGGGTCGTTATGGATTTCTTCAGGTTTTATGTCGGCAACCGATTTAATATTTAGCCACCTTATTGTCTTCCAGAACTGCTTGGGATCACATTTGAATTTATGGACAAGATAAGCTTTTTTCTCGTTTCTCACTGCCATACTAACAAAATTACGCAAATCTTTATAATAATTCCAGGATGCGTCCGTTTTAAGTTTTTTATATTTTGAAAGGGCTTTCTTTCGTAACTTCATCATCATTTTTAAGTTCTCTGTAAGCCACGGAGCAGGAGCTTTGGTAAATTTAGATGATTTAATGGGAGCGTGATCATCAAAAATTGAGTTTATGTTAATATTCAGGTATTCTACGATTTTATCAACTTCGTCCAGACTATATATATGATCCCAATTGCGCATCTCTAAATCATTCATAAAGTCGATATAATTAAAATTTGAATAATCACGATATGTACGATATTTAATTTGGTCAATTTTAGTAAAAATTTTCAGTGTACAAGTAACCAATGAGTGATCCGATATTGGATCCATATCTACAATATTTACATCATTAATTAAACTAGGACGAGAACAAACAATAATATCTAGCAACGTCTGAGAAACATTAGTTACTCTAGTTGGCGAATCCACCATTTGTGTTAAGCCATATTTGTTGAACATTTTTTGTAAAATATTATTGTCGTTGTTCAAATAATTGACATTTAAATCTCCTCCGAATAAAACGCAGTCAAATTTAAGCAACACATCAATCAAAGTATTCTCCAAACCATTTACACAGCACAACAAATTAGAATCGGGAGGACGATACACCGATCCCAGGCAAAAATTTAACTTACCCACCCTCACACTCACCCAGATCTGCTCCAACGTAGAGTCATCTAAGGGAACCGTATTTGAACTTTGTATTTTAGTGAATTTTTAATATAGAAGCACACTCCACCACCTCGGCCATTTCGTATTAAGTTATAACCATTTAATAAAACAGCCCCATCTGTCACGTTACCAGACAGCCACGTCTCTGAGAGTCCCAGAACATCATAGTTTTCGCCAATTACATGTTCCGCAAACAAATCAAAAGAAGAAAAAATTGAACGTATATTGAAATTTATTAATATTCTATATATTTATTAATATTCTATATATCAATTATACCTCAAGCTATACTAATGGTTGGCAGAAGAACAAATCGTTCAGTGGCCATCTTCACAGACAGTCAAGCGGCGCTAAAGGCACTCGGCTCCGCGGTGGTCAATTCTAGACTAGTGTGGGACTGTGCGCGTGCTCTGAATACCTTGGGCGAACGTAGCACTGTTACGTTGGCCTGGGTGCCAGGGCACGAGGGCCACAAGTGTAACAAAAAGGCAGATAAAAGGGCCAAGCAAGGCTCATCAATGCCATTCATATGCCCAGAACCCTTCTGCGGCGTTGCAAAGGCGGTCACGAGAATGGCCACGGAACGATAGGTGGCCAACAAATCTCTAGAATGGAGGAGAAACTCACCAGGGCAGAGACAGGCGAAAAGGTTCATTGTAGAACATTTGCCAAAATTCAGGGTAGACTTGATAAGCAAGGACAGAAAGGTAGTCAAAGCTGTAGTAGGTCTACTAACAGGACATTGTAAGCTAAATAGGGATCTAAAGCTGATGGGATTGACAGACGAAGATATGTGTAGGTTCTGCCAATCTGAAGAAGAAACGTCAGAACACATTTTATGTCGGTGTGACAGCCTGGCAAATGTGCGGTTCCCGGTAATAGGCAATGATAGGCCATTGCCAAGGAGCTACATGGAGGGTTCAGTCTCCAAGTTGCTAAACTTTGTGAAAATGATAGGACTGGAGAATGTAATCTAAGGATCAGAAGAGGACCACAATAGATCTGAGAAGGTCGCACTGGATCAGGCCGAAAGCCATCTCTAAGAATCTAATCTAAAATGGTTGGCAAAGATTAGTTTTTTTAGGCAAGTTAGAAACAGTTGCACTTCTGGTAAAAGTAAGTGGAATTGAGTTGGTGTTTGACAATGGTGGCGCTATTAAAACTATGAATTCAAAAATCGATATTTCGAAATCCATTAGAAATAACTGATGTATTTTATTTTTTTTAAACTTTGTTAATATTTCTGCTATATTTTCTTCGCAGACAGTGTGTGAAAATCTTTATAAATAAAAAATTACACGATTGGTGAAAATTGCAATGCACTAAAAGTAAATGGATGGGATTTTTAAAAATTTTGAATGAAAAAAACAAACCTATCGAATTTTTCTTATCTTTTAACACAAAAATATCTTGTAAAAAAATTTCCGAACTTCAAAATAAAAAAAAAGTTTCAATATCTAAAGTGGTTCTGGAGTTATCGCGTGTTATGTGTTAAAAAGTAGAGTTTTTAAATTATTGCGATTACTGCCGTTTCCTCGTTATAAAAAAATGGAGACCCTAACGATATCCTTATAATTCCATTTCAGTTGCTTAGAAACATATCTAGTTATGTTTTTGAAAAAAAGGTCTTAAAAAATAAGCGGTATGCGATCGTGATTTTACTTTAATTGATAGCGAAAAGCGTACCGGAGAAATGCGACAACGCCGCAACAGCACACCATCGCATTGCTCTCACTCCGACTTAATAAGATCCCTATGTGATTTACTTCCACACATGTAAATACCGGCCCAAGAGTAAGTATGGCATATGTAGATATAGAGTTGAATATGTATAGTGGCAGCTTTCATTGATTGAATATTATGTTTTTAATGAACAAGGACATTCCAGTAAAAGCTGTTTGAAGAGCTAAAACGTTGGGGAAGAAATCTAGAGGAAGGGAAGCCAAAAATTATGCAATAGATAAAAATAACATAAGATTTAACAAAGAGACAAAAATCAGCCTTAAAAAAAGACACAAATAACTGGAAAACAAATGTGTATAGTTAGGGAGTTACTAAATATAACATTTCTCCAAAAAAATCCTTACATGGGTATTTCGCCACTGCAAGAATTGAACCGATTCATACATTAAAATCACACCACACTTTATAGAAAAACATTCAAAAATTAATATAACGCCTAACAGTTTAATAGTTAGTTTTGATGTTGTTAGCCTTTTCACTAATGTACCAGTAGAAAAATCACTTAAAATAGTTAGGGATAGGTTAGAACAAGATAAAAGTTTAAAAGATTAAACTAATTAAACATATATAGTATTTTGGAATTGTTGATAATTTGTATTAAAACTAATTATTTTCAATTAAATAACGATTTTTTTCAACGAGATTTCAGTATGGCAATGGAATCACATCTTTCTCTTTTGCTAAGTAATATTTATATGGAAGATTTTGGAAATAATACAATAAATAGTTTTTCAAAAAATCCTGTAATATGGCTGCGTTATGTTGATAATATTTTTGCAATATGGCAACATAACCTTTCTGAAATAGAATTTTTTTTGGATTATATAAATTCTCGCAAACCTACCATAAAATTTACTTTAGAAGTAGAGAGAGGTAATCGTTTGCTATTTCTTGATGTTTTAGTGTCAAAGTTTCAAAATAAACTAATTTTAGATGTTTACAGAAAACCCACAAATACATATACTTAAATTTCACATCTAATCACAGTATAAGTGTAAAAAAGGTGTTATAAAAAGTTTATATTTCAGACGACAATTCACTAAACAGAGATATAAACCACATAAAACATACATTAATAAAAAATGACTATCCATCATCTTTTATTGACATAACGAAATACAAACCCCAAATCATAGACACAATGATAACAATACACAATATTATTACAATTCCACACATACGACGCGTTTCGGAAAAAAATAAGAAGGATAGGGAAACTAAACACAGGAACAGATTTCAAAACACAAAATACACTTAGATCCATTTTATCACACACTAAACCATTGAATACTGAACAACAAACAAAAAATTTAATATACAAAATACCATCTGAATGCGATAAATTTTATATTGGTGAAACATCTAGACCCTCAAATGTTTGAATTAGAGAACATAAAGATTATTTAAGAAAGAGCTATTTCCACAAATCTAAGATTTGTCAGCATTCATGGGACATAGGGCACAGAATAGATTTTAACAACAGACGCATCTGTTTAAAAAAATAAAGTGTTCTCGAATAGTTGCATTTAAATATTTTAAATAGTTTTTTCTTTATTCTTTGTATTTGTTTTGCTTCTGACGATGGAAAGAGATAAACTTTTCGAAATGTTAAGCATTTTTTTGTTCGTTAGGCAAATTTGTTTATCAGTAATCATAACTGCTGACCAGTAGTCCCCGTTGGATTAAATAATTATTTCTTTTGTAGATTTTCGTGCAGTGGCAAAATACCCATATAGATTTTTTTTTGAGAGATGAATCCGCCACATAGGTATAGACATAGTTTAAAATATAACATGTATTAACTTCAATATGTATTAACTAAATTAACTAAGGCATTAATTAAAATATGCTTCAATTATTTCCCTTACCTGTTAATTTCCGGATTGTATTCAGTGAAACAATCCTTCTGCCCGAACAAAGCCTTGTTAAACGTTATTCTTAACCTCCGCGGCTCGTCGTATTCAAAGAGGTATTGGCAGAACAGGTCCCTCTGTCCTCCCCTGCCGAACAGAAAGGTTATCTTCGGCGAATAGAATCGGCCCTTGTTGTTCGTGAACAGTCGATCGCACGAGTTCCTGTTTATTTGCACGCCTTCTTGCGACAGATCGACGAATTCGTAACGAAGGATAAAATGGACTGGATATAAGACGCTGCCGTATTTAATGGTCTGGGAAATTGTTAAGTCGGGGCTGGTGCTGACGTAGCTTTCCGACAGGCTAGAAAAAGGAATAACGTTTACTCGATCATTAATAACCTTGGTGTACATTCTTAAGTATTATTTGTAAAGAAGTCAAATTTTCTTTGAGCGGCATGAATAAAAATAAATTGGAATAATCTTTGGGAGATAAATAAACTAGTAAAAACAATTTTCGCGTATCTTCTAAAAAAATATTAATTTGAAAAACAAAACACTTTGAATTCCCTGTAGAATGTAGAGTGTAGAATGAGTAAGAGGGGGGGTTAATCACTGCGACCTTAAAGATCTATTGTGCCCACCTTCCTTGAGTCATCACACAATCTATAACCCATCATACCCCTGTTGTAGAGGGGACAGGTATTTCCCATCCTCCTCTGACAACAGTTCTTCCTCCGAGGGTACACACCCTTCCACGGTTGGAGTTTGGCTCTCCGTGCCGCCCTTCACTGTCGAGAAAACCGTGAGGTAGAGGCTGTACTCCATTTTCTCCACCTTTTTAACTTGGTCTCTCCTTAGACCTGATACCGGTGTTGTCCCGTATCTATAATAGAGGATATGTCCCTCTTTCTCTATTGCCTCCTTGGATTTGAGGTCAATTCCTATTGTGAGGACCTGACCATGACCCTCCTCCCTCGAGTTGATGACTCGCCAACTCGATGTCCTTACATTGAAGTTCTGACCCTGGATAAGGCTCAGCAGGTAGGTGGTGTCTTTCCCCTTTCTCCTCGCCAGAAGGACCGTGATGGGCGCCCATTTAGGGATGTTTTCTCCCTTCAATGCAACCAGTTCCGGCCCTTGCCAATTTTTAAGCTTAGGTACGATTTCTACCAACCAGTTCGCCGATTCTTGAGATACACAATCTATGAGGATCATGACCACCCGAAAATGTATCCCCGCAAAACGCAGCTGACACACATTTTGTAGATCGTTGTGTTGCAATCCGATCGCCACTACTTCGTCCAGTATAGTCCTCTTCTAGAGCCGTTTGCTGGTCGGTGGTCAGAGCAACCTCTGGGAGAGGAGCAACCTTTGGCAGCACCGCCATTTTCACTTGTCTAGCAATAGCGGCAAAGCTGGTATACACCCTGCTTGCCTCCCGGTGTTGGATGGCTTTCTATCCAGTAATATTAAAAAATTATTATTATTATTATTTTATTATTATTATTATTTTTTTATTATTATTATTATTTTTGGGCCCGTATTCTGTAACTTTGAAAACGCTAAGCGCTTTTAGACGCTCAGCGTATATGACGTTAATTTTCGCTGAGCGCGCACTTAATTAACGATTTCGGTATTCTCGTCTTACGCGCTTAGCGTCTTTACTGATTGCGCTGAGCGCTTTGAAAACGGTTGCCTTAAAGGATCGTTTTGCTTGTCGAACTCTCAGTGAAAATCGAAAAAATTGTGATTTTGTGCGTTATCTTGCTCTTTAGTGAAAATTACTATTTCTTCTATAAATTCCTCAATAAGTAATTGATAATTTACGACTTGGCAGCTATACATATTGTTGAAAACATTGAAAATGCTGAGAAGCGTCTTCAACACTTCCCTCGTATAATAAGAATAATGACATATCCATAGAAAAATAGCTTGACATAACTCAACAATAGGTTATGAAATTCACGTAACATTGACATTTTTCATTGTTACATCTGTCAGTTAGTAACTTTTGACTATTACCTACATTAGAAATTGTGATGTTGGCAATATGTGCTCAACGCGTATCCAGAACACGATTCGCATGGCAACGAGAATACCAAAATCGACAGCCTTGCGTTTCGCCGATCGAATACTTGTGCTCACCGCTTTGTAACGTAACGTTTTTATGTCAAAGTAACAGAATACGGGCCCGCTTTTTCTCTCCCTGCCGGAGAAGAGGTGAGAGGTTATCGCTCCCCCTCTTGCCCTTTGATGGAGATGAATCAGGTTGTTTCTTCGTTTCTTTACTCTCCCCTTTTCGGAGGAGTATTTTCGCTTTTGCTTCCTCTGGAGCAAGTCCTTAGTGGAGCAGTCGGAGTATCTCCGTGCTAAGACCCACTCTCAGAGTCCGCCTGGTTGACTCAGGCCGGGTAGACGAAACGGTAGCTTGTGTCGCTCATTGGGCCCAGAGGTAGGCTCCCGACCCTTGCTGGAGAAGGTGGTAGCTTGTGTGCCACTTGTGGAGGATGATCCCAAGCAAGTGTCAGCCGCCCCTCTTGTAGTTTCCTTTGGATTTGGTCCCTTGAAACTTTCATTTGTAATGTTCCCAGTGTCACTAGGGGGCTTCCCCACAGCTTCACCGGTCGGTGGTGTTTGTAACACTAGATCTCATAGTGTTCCTACGGGTCGCTAGGGATAGTCGGTCCACTTCTACAGAGCCCCGCATGTAGAAGTAAAGGGTAAATATAATGGGGTGCCTTCTGATGACCCAAGGTTGAGGCCAGTAATGGCTAGTCCTCTATCTAGCCACGCATCCCTTTGATCTGGTTCCGCCATCGTATGATTTAGGTTTTTGGTGAGGTTATCTCCTCTTGGTCCAGGCGGTTAAGCCAAGACCCCCCCCCCACACCCTCTACCTGCGAGACATGATCACAGTCAGTAGAGGGTGCCTGGTATGACAGACAGGGGTAGCCCCGTCCGGCATCGTTATAAGTCTTGGGGCAATTCCCTGGCCACTACACTACAGCCAGAGCAAGACGATAAGTGAGATGCTTGTTAGGCCAAGCCAAGCGCTAGGGGGATTCCCCCCAGCACCTGACCAGGAGCTTCCCCACCAACAAGGTCTTGCAACTCCTACGGGAAGTTGAATTCCCTGACTTACGGTTATAAATGGTTTGGATACTGTGAAGGGAAATTCGAAACAATAACAGTCGGTCGACTATTTAGTTGCAAAAGTGAAAACAATACATACCTATGGATCCGATCGGCCGACTAGTTGATTGCACGTGAGCGCGGCTCCATAAGGATATATTGGTTATAAATATGCTACTAAATAGTCGGCCGATTAAAAATTGCCTGTCAACGCATAGCCTAAGCCTACGCAATCTAATGAAATATTGGGCCGATCAGCTCCATAAGAATGTTTTGTTTTCACTTTTGTAACCAAATAATCGACCGACTAAAATTACATGTCAGTGCGTACCCTAATAAGCCTTAAAAAACTCACAAGAGAAAGGCAGAAAAATGCATGCTTCGTTTAGAAACGTGTAATAATTACTTTTATTCAAATATGCAATACTTGTTTTGAGTAGTGTATTATATAATAGATGTACTGGGTGCGTCTCAAAAGTGACTCACCTTTATAACTTTTTATTTTTTAGATAAAATATCGAGATTTGGTACGTTAGTATATGACATAAATTAGGATTGATTGACGTATTCAGTTGTTTTCTGTCACTTCCTGTTTCACCAGAAATTACTACAACTTTTGATTTTTAAATGGTACTCTCGGTATTTTGTTTAATAGTATGACATGTCATATGTCAACTTTTGACATTTTCGAATATGGTTTATTTGAAATTGTAACATGCGGTTTATAACGACAATTTACCTCGAAATACCCAGTGTGTGGTATCAAATTATTCGTAAAAAAATGCTTTTTCCAAATATACTAATGAGCCACCCTCGTTCCTTATAAAAAAATGAGATATGATTAAAAATACGATTTGAGCATATTTTAACCGGCCAGGATAAGATACTAAAAATTAGAGGATCAAATCTATTTTTCCAAGGCTCCTTGATTAAAAATTAGTGTTTTTAACACAGCCATGGCACTCACTTAGATGGAAATATAATATACGATTTTTTTAAACGAAAATGTCAAAATGTCATTCTACTCAGAATGTCATTTTCTATCGAATAAAGTAAAAATATACCGAGGGTGCCATTTAAAAATCAAAAGTTGTAGTCATTTCCCGTAAAACAGGAAGTGACCAAAATCAATTGAATATGTCAATCAATCCTAATTTATGTTATATACTAACATACCAAATCTTGTCCTTTTATCTAAAAAAATAAAAAAGATATAGGGGTGAGCCACTTTTGAGACTCACCCGGTATTGTATTATGCTGGTATTTTAAAAAATAGTAATATTAAAAATATGGAACAGTTATTTTTCAAGAGCAATAATGTCAATTTGACCAATTTAAAAATATAAAAAATAGATGTCAAATGCAACCGTGGAATGAAATGTTAATAAAAGAGTAATTACAGTTCTAGATTATGCAGCCAATATTTGATCCACAAATATCAATAGAGGTGAATGTTATCTAATATTTGCTCAGCCGTCTGGTGACAATTTAGTAAATTCAGCTTATCTAAATTTTCACTAAAATATGAGTGCTAATGAGCACTAAAATGCGATTTTTGGCAATTCAATCCCGTAGGGTGAAATGGAGGAAGAACTTTTGTATAAAAATTCGTTAAATTCTGTTCTAGAAGTGTGAAATTTTGTATAGAGATTTCGCTATTAGATCCTTTCCTAAAATTAGGGGTAAAAGTTTGTATAAAATTTTTAAAAATCTCTTCTAGGAGTATGAAATTTTGTTTAAGCGACGTAATTGAGCAATATAAAACGATTTTTGAAAATATATCGAAGGTGTTGGTGATGTCCTATGTTCACAATAAAGGTACATAGAATTTGGAACGTCTGTGTTTTGTGTAAGTTGCAACCATAATGTATAAGAAATTCGAGTTTTAAGCGGAAGAACTCGATAGCAAAAACTACCTACTTATTCATATGACAACAGCCTTAACATGTAAATATTTTGAAAACTGTTGGATTTGGATCTAGACAAATTTATTCGAAGTTACTTTTATATCTGAGAATGATTAAATAAATAAACCAAATATGGAAATAGCCATTTGAAATAATCGATTTTTTATACTCTTTAGAAAGTATTTTTTATGATAAATTTATGAGGACCCTTTCTAGTATTTAATCAATTAGTATAAAAACTGAAGTAGAGTAGAATCTTTTCTAAAATATTGCCAACATAAATTCGTAAAAAATGCATGAGTTCCGAAAAATGTACAATTTA